AACAAAATCATAACCAACTTACATGGAAACAAAGAATCAACATAATTGTACACATAATCGAATCAGTTTTACGTCTCTATCAAGAACATTCTATTCATAGAGATTTGCATTCATGAAATATATTATATTCTGAATATAGTGGACAATGGTATATTAGTGATTTTGGATTTTGTGGACCTGCTGATAAACATTTAAGAAGTATATATGGAAACCTTCCTTATATAGCGCCTGAAGTTATTAATGGAAAAGAATATACTTTTAAATCGGATATATATAGTATTGGTATGCTCATGTGGGAGATTTCATCTGGACAACAACCTTTTACTTATTATGTTCATGATTATGATCTTGTGATAAAAATAATGAATGGAATGAGACCACAAATAATACAAGGAACTCTAACAGAATATAAAAATTTAATGGTTTAATGTTGGGATGCTGATCCATCAAAGAGACATGATATTAAAAATCTTATTAATAAAATTAGAAAAATACGAAAATTGTATTATCAAAATGAAAATGAAGAACAAAACATTAATTTTGACAATACACAATCAAATGCAAAACCTAATATAAGTTCTAATTCTATTAGTTCATTAGTCAGAACATTTAGTAAACTTCACACTTTTAAGGATTTACCTGAACCAAAAAATACCACTGAAGGTAATTTATTTAATTTGTTTGTTTATTATTAAATTAAATTTAATTTTTATTTCTTTTTTAATTTACAGAAGAGCAAGAAGTTAGTTATTTAAATGTTTTGAAATATTGAAGTTTAATTTAATATTAATTTTATATTTTCTTTTTTTATAAAATAAAGCTTATAATAGCATGCATTACAGTCTTAATATTTCAAATAGTAAGTAATACTTGTTTATATTTAATCATAAGAAATTTAATAATTAATTTGACTAAAATAAAAAAAATATATCTAAAGATTATACTGAACAGAAAGTGTGTACATCAATTGGTAAGAATATATATTTTGATATTTTGTTTTAAAATTATTTTATTTGATAATTTAAAATCTTATAATATTAATATTTACAGATATGAATGTTGGCAAATATAAAAGGAATTCAAATAACTTCACAATGGTAAGTCATTTCGTTAATATTATGCTTTTTAAATAACGACTAAACTTGTCATTATAATTTTTTTACTTTAATAAGAAAATCAAAAAGATTTTAAAAATTAATTCAAACTAAGATTAACGTTAAACTTTATTAATGGCAACGGTAAGTGACAATTCGTAAAGTTTTATTTTATTCTTAATATTTTCTAACACTAAATTGTTTATTTTACGAATTTATCATACAAATGATTAAATTATAACGCATTATAGTAGAAAGCGATGTAAGAAATTGATAGATCTAATTATTTATTACTAAAATTACAATTTAATTATTAGATGATAGATATATAATAATTCAAATATTCATTCAGAAATTCCTGAAGGTAAAAATTAAGCAAAATCAATTTAATACCAAGCTTAGAGTAAAATTTCTTTTATACAGTATTTTAAGTAACGATGGATTATTTTTATTGGGAATTATTAAACACTAAGATTAGACAAAAGTTCCTTAGTCTATAATTTAAATATTTCATAATGCTAGTTTGTTTAAACATAATGTTATAGTATAGTAATCATTATATTTGAAATAAATTTTGGAATTTAACAATTTAAGTTTGAATGCCTACAAAAACTAAACTGTTATAATTGACTTTAAAATTTCAAAGTGCTATTTATAAATTTCATGAAGAATTTTTGAAAGCCAAAAGTAAATAACATTTGGCATAAATAGTAGAATCATCAAAATCACATTTATAATGACACGTCTTTGTATCCACGAGCAATTTGAATATATGGAATACCAATGAAATATGAAAAGATCTCATTGACTTTACCAAAAGCCCTACTTCATGATAAATCTTGTGAAATCACAGGGATTTGGTGCTTCGTTTGACTCAATTCCCAAATGATAATTTCGTTCAATTACAAATCCTTTTTATAATTATTCCATCAAAGGTACTTTTAAACCAAAAAATTTATCGGATTCAAATATCACTTCAGGTTCGGACAATTTTTTTCAAGGCAATCTTACAAACTTCAGTGAATAATTCATATTGAAAGATTTGTGTTCCTATGGGGTCAAGTATACTTGGATACGAGGAGTTAAAGTTTGTATGCTAGTTCATCCACTAACACAAGAGCTCTTATAAATCAGGATCTTTAATTCCGTCAAATCATCCTTTTCACAATAAATGTATTCAAATAATTTCAAATAATAATATTGAAGTATAGCAAATTCTTTAGATAACGCAGTACGAGTGCGCGCGTATTTCATTGAACTGACATTCATATCCTTCGAGACATTATTTATTTATAGAATCAAAATTTTTTTAAAAAAAAGTGTCCCATTTTACCATTAATAAACAACGTAGCACTAACTCAAGCATCTGATTTTTATTTCCGGATTTAAAATAAAATATGCCAATAATTTTGAAAATAAAATTTAACAAAAGATTTTGAAACTGGGTCGATTGAGTTTATCAATTTTATAAAGGATATAAAGGATATGGAATTTTGATTATTAATATATTTTCCTAACATTTTTCAGCCTGCTAATCGTGTTCGTCTTGTTATAAAGAATTGTCTTAAATATTGGGATACTTATATAATCTCCCAAGACTCAAAAAGTAATTAATTATGAACTTCATCACAGCTCTCAAATAGTAAATTGAAACAAGGCGTCGGGTCTGTTCTATTTGAAATTTTTATGATTGGTTACAAAAAATTCGGTATATGATTTTTTATAAAATTGTCAGGCAGCTAAAATTAAAATTGGTTCCAGAAAAGATCTTTTGATCCTACTCAGCAAATTTTCTTAAAAAAAGAAGTTACAAATAAAGTATGATTCTTGGAAAGATTTAAAGAAGAACACAAAAGTTGTAAAATTGACTGAAATTCTGGTAATCTTTATTTTATGATCGACCAACGAAGTTTTATTTTATTTTTTAAGTATCAATCTTTACTAACGCGATAATTTTAACTGTTTATTTAGGGACATTAAGCGGTCCCAAACAGTCCTAAAAGTCCCCAGTTCTAGAGAATATTTGTATTTTATTGGCATTATATTTTATTTTCAAATGATAATTTATTAATTTAATATTTATTAAAAATAAATATTAAACTTACGAGGGAACCCAGAATCTTAATTTTTGAAACTTAGGACCCGGTCCTAAGGACCGGATCCCACCTTGGCGGTCCCATGAAAATTGTCGATTTCAAAGTTCATATTTCTTTTAAAAGTTATTCATAAAATTTATTATTACAATTTTTTACCAAGAGTTACTTATTATATATAAGCGATTAGACTTTTCTATAACTCGTAATTTCTACAATTATTTGGAACCGTATCGGAATATCACGTGCATTTACATCCCCTTGAATATGAGTTTTATATTAAAATAGTTTAACTAAATAATTAATTTAATTTGGAACATTAGTTCGTGAATATACGAAATACTTTGCTAGTATTTTAATTGCGAATAGTTACGTTCAAAGTCTGAAGAATACTAAAATACGAAGTATTTCGACCGTAGTACTTCACAGAGCCGATAAAACATTCGGACTACGAAGTTTACTGCGTAATACATTGTAATCTTATCGAACTGTAATACCTGTACTTTGTTTAAAAAATTTCTTGATGCATCTAAATTATTTAAACAAATATTATTTATAAAACAAAGTAATAAACAAACATATTGATTAAGAACAATTACTAAATTAAGATCGCGAGAGGATTAAAAGTTCGCTAGATGAAATATACTTACTTTAATTATTTTAAAATTTTTTACCTGCAAAACGTTTTCCCATCATCATGTCATTATTCTTTAATAAATTCAATTATTCTGCAAACTTTAACTTTTAAAGAATGTGCAGCAGTTAATTGATCTTGTTAAATGTCGTGTGTTCAATCACTTATTATTCTTATCCTTTTATAGTCATTTTCTTATATAGAACATGCTAGATACTGTACTTCTTAAGATAATATATGCATCTATTTTGTAAACAAGAGTATTTTTTAAAATTAACGAATTTTGTGAAAAATACAGAGTGATCGTGTTGAATTTTGCATTTTTATTCGTTGAAAGACACATGATTATTTTGTTTGACAATCCGTCCATGTATAATACAATTCCAGATTAAAAATTTATTTATCTATATATGGTATAGTTACTTTATGATCACCTTAAAATAGGCTAAAAAAAATTTTAGCTGCTTCAACAAAAAAAGCTCTTCACCATCAAAATTTTTATCAAACTTAAGTAAAAATTATATTGAATTATTGGATGATGATACTTTGGAAGTTGGTGAAGATCCCTAATGTAAAAATATTCCGTACTCATATGAATATATTGTGCTACCGTTCCCCATATTTGCGTCGAGCTTTGGCTTCAAATAAAAAAGGTAACGAGAATATCTTGACTCATTTGAAATTGCCAAACATTTCACCGGAAATCTTTCAAATCATTTTAAAGTAAGTGTTTATCGATACATAAAATCACATTGAGCTAGATGTTTTGGAAATTCTTAAAGTCTTGATAGCTGCTAGTAAATTATTTCTTCAAGAACTAGTAGATTACTTGCAAAAGTATTTAATAGAAAATAAAACTGAATGGATTGAGAAACATTTTAATCTTATTCACTAAGAAAGCATTTAAGTAACCAGAATTATCTTTAATTTTTGAAAAGTCTTTAATATCAATCATTAAAAAGGACGATTTACAAATTAAAGAAATTGAAGTTTGGGATCATGTATTAATGTGGGGACTAGCACAAAATCAAAGCTCATACCAGATCCCGCAACTTGGACAGATGGTGATTTCAAGACAATTGAGAATACTTTACATCGGTGCTTACCTTTGATCAGATTTTTTAGTTTATCATCTAAAGAATTCACATAAAAAGTTCGACCATTTCAAAAGCAATTCAAACGTCAATTTTATGATAATCTGTTAAATTCTTACTTGGATTCTGATGATGAACCATTAGACATTTTACTACCTAGGTGTATCAAAAACGATAAAAACATTGATACAAAGATCATTAATATAAATATTGTTTCCATGATTTCAAGATGGATCGACAAATTGGATGTTAATGTTAAATTCTCATTTATATTTACCATACAGATTTAAATTACTATTGAGAGGGAGTCGAGACGGATTTTCTCCTAAAATATTTCACAACCTGTGCGATCATAAGCCTATTAATGTCACCTTCATTAAAATAAAAGGAACAGAAGAAATTATTTGTGGATACAATCCTATTATATGGAAATCTACTAATGAATGGGGTAAAACTAAAGATAGTTTCATATTTACTTTTAAAATTAAAGATAATTTTATCAAAAGTGCGAAATTAAGCAACGTTAAGAATGCAAATTGTGCATTAAATTATCACGAGCACCTCGGATACGATCTTGGAATGAAAGATGAATTAATAAATTTTAATTCAATTTATCGGAAAAAAATTTACGAAAAAATGTTAATAGGTAATGAAACTTTTTCTATGGAAGACTATGAAGTCTTCCAAATTATTAGAGAATAAAATAATTTTTTTAAATTTTTCGGTTCTTTTTTTTTTGAATTTAAAAAATCTATAATTTTGTTATAATTTTGTGCGCGAAGCGGTTAATTATTATTGAAAATTTTTAATAAACCGTCCCAGAAATAAACTTCCAGTAATAATAACTTTATAAGAAATATGTTGTTGAAATTGGCTAAGTATGTTAACCATAAGGAGCTGATAAAAGCTTATTTATGTAAATAAAAAAAAACTTCATTCTAACAATTATAGTTTGGTTCTGATAAGGTGAGAAATCTTATATTCCTTTAGATACATATGTTCGTATGACATTGAGAAATCTCAAATAAATCATATATTCCACCGCATATAATCTGTCGACAAATAAAAGGAAAAACAATTTATAATTCGGTATGCGAGAATAAAATTTTCTTTATTTTATTTTTTAAAAATAATGCCCCACACATTGAAACTTATTTTATTGTACGACTGGAACCACTAGACAACTTGTTGGTCGAAATCGCTAGATTTAAGAATCGAATGAATTGAATTTTAATGCCTTTAACCACAAATAAGTTAACTTTAGGGTATGATAAAGTTATTTATAATTGGGAATTTTTATAATTTGAAATTATTATAAACCAATGACCTCATCACCCCCGCAATTATTAGAATAACAAAAAATAAATAAATGAAAAAAGAACAAAATAAAACCGAAAGAGAAAAATATATACCTCTTTCTCTGGTAGCGATCGATCATGGAATAATCGTTATTCATATTCAATTTGAGAATTGAAGTAAACAATGAAACCGGATAATATTTAATTTTATTCGAGAATCAAAATTAGTAATGTAATTTAAATCGAAATCTAAATTTTTTGAGAAAATCCAAATATAAAGAATCGAAGATAGCAATAAACCTGATATCAAATCTTAATTTGATTTTGAGAAACAACTATTTTTTATTTAATTTATTAATTTTTTATAAACTTTAATTAATTACCATATTAACGTTAATTGATTGTAAAGGTTAACAATTATTGAACTGATTTCAGTTGATGATGATGACGAAAAGGATTATGATGAGATATTCGGGTCTAATATATAATATAGACACAAACAATTTATGGATTCTTATTTGAAACTTGTAATTCCAAGAAAGGATTAAACTTTCTGATATTGATTCGCATCAGTTTAAAGACATTCTTTCTACCGATTATATGGCTAAAAAGTTATTAAACATCGATAAAAATCAATACTTCCGCAGTATGCCTAATTGTAATAAGTTATACGATGCTACATCAATAATTCCAACCAATCCAAATGATAATGAAAATTCAGGATTTAAATGTACCTATATTGAATTTCCCCATGAGTCAGAGTTACTCGCAAAGGTCATGGATATATCTGGCATTTTAAAGAGATATATCTTTGATAAATTGTGGACATTTGAGTCTTTAAAGATTCTAAGACTAAATTTTTTAAAAAAAAGTATTAACCGAGTGTAACTTGCATTATGTCAGGTTTTTATGATGTCAAGATATAGAAGGATTTCTTTCACGTGCGGATGCATCAAACTCATCAGCTGAAACACATTAATTAATTTGAATTAGTTCCAGCCATTTGATTCATTTTTAATATATATAAATATACAGAAATGTAATCGAAAATTTTTTTAGATAAAAATAATTTATATGATTCTTTTTTATCTTTATTGAAGAAATTTGCTATTTATCCCTTGCCTTGTGCTCCCTTCCACAATGAAGGTTCGAATATTATTACTTAAAAGGATATATCAAATATAAATCTAGTCTGCCAAATGTGTTTTACAACTTTTAAGAAATACCTTTTATTTTACGATTCAACAAATTTGTATAACTTAAATTTAGGTTTCCTGAAATATAATTGAATATTAAGATCTAAAGTTATTTTTCAAAAATTTCTTTAAACTAGTTTCGATTTAAATATGAATATTATTTATTTTATTTATTAAAATAAAAATACTAATAAAGTATATTATTAATTTTTTAATAATATAAATCTAAAAAGATAAACTATTAAATATTATTAAATATACATTATTAAAAATATAATTTAAAGAATAGAACGAATAAAGAGAACGTGATTAAAATCATGAAAATTTTAACAGTTAATATTTATAAAGACGAACCAAATAAAAACCTTTGCAATACAAATACTTTTTGTTATTTTCTTTAAATTTTCAAAGTTTAATGAATACTTAAAAAGGATTATTTAACATTAGTATGGGAGTTATTAGAATAGTTATTATAATATTGAGTCTTTTAAAGATTTAGGAAATATATCCATTAAGGAATCGGGAACATTTGGTAAGCTATTTATTGTATTACAGTTAAGATAAATTAAGGAGTTGGGTAATGTTGGTAGGATAGTTATTTGGGTATTATGACACCGGAGTTTTATTAAGGAGTTGGGTAAGGTTGGTAGGATAGTTATCGGAGTATGAGAGCAATTAAGCTCCATTAAGGAGTTGGGTAAGGTTGGTAAGACAGTTATTGGAGTATTATAGCAAACAAGTTGCGTTAAGGAGGTGGGTAAAGTTGGTAGGATAGTTATTGGAGTATCAGAGCAATAAAGTATTGTTAAGGAATTGGGTAAGGTTGGTAGGACAGTTATTTTAGTATCATTGCAATAGAGTTTTATTAAGGAGTTTGGTAACGTTGGTAGGATGGTTATTGGAGTATTATGGCAATCAAGTTCTGTCAAGGACTTGGGTAAAGTTGGTAGGATAGTTATATGAGTAAAAGGGCAGTCAAGTACTATTAGGGAGTTGGGTAATGTTGGTAAGCTATTTAAATGAGATTTATAGCAATTGAGTTTCATTAAAGAGTTGGGTAAGGTTGGTAGGATAGTTATCGGAGTATCAGAGCAGTCAAGTTCAGTTAATTTTCGATATCTTTGTAACCCTCCTAAGGCGTTTAATATGTCATCCTTATTAGATTCTGTAATCCTTAAACTTTTGGTTATATCATCATAAATAATATCCGATACATCATTATCTAATCCTACTTTCATCTGATCAAAATGATGAACAAATTCGAAATTATTTGAAACATTATTATTCTTTTGATAATTAATTTGACCAAATCGAATAATTTGAGAATTTTCTCCTAATGAATTATTTAATTTAGAAACAGCTTCGAAGTTATTTGATTCATTATTATTCATTTTAATATTTTCTGTTATGTTCATCTTCGATACAATTGCATTTAATTTATCAACTACTTGATTCATTGATGGATGATTATCTGGCTCATTATCCCAGCACCCTGAAATTAGTTAAAAATTTAATAATCATTATATATTCTTATAAATAATTTTATAATCAAATATTTACCAGTGTAGATATTCACATAATCATCAGGAGTGTCGGGAATGGTCCTTTCTCTAAGTCCTCCCAAAATTTCGATAGCTAAGCTTACGTCGTATTCTTCATCATTAATATAAAAAGGAGGTCGACCGCTCGATATCTCCCAAATGAGAACTCCAACACTATAAACGTCGCTTTTTTCGTTTAGTTTGAATTGTGGTGATTTATTGTCATTTATTTGTCTGCAAAAAAATTTTGGGTCAACATAAGGAATTACTCCAAAAGTTTTTGTTGTTGTTGTTGCTTCAATTCTTTTCGATAATCCAAAGTCGGCTAGTTTAATAACACCTTGATGAATTAATACATTGCCGGAATGCTATTATAAACGTATAAAAAAAATGTGTTAATTATATAAACAATAATATTCGGAAAAAAATATAGAATGTAAGATTACCAAATCACGATGCACAATTCCTTCGTTATGTAAACACAATACAGCACAAGACAACTGAAATGCCAAGTTGTATTTATCTCCCCAAGCAAGTTTATCAAAATTTTCCTTCAAATAGTTTTTAAGTGCACCACCATCAGCATATTCCATTACTAACCAATAGTTTTTTAATTGATCATTTAAATCTAATTTTTTTTTAAAAAAAAAATTATAAATAAATTAAAAATTATATGCAAAGTTAAAATACAAATATATATGTCCGCATTATTTAAATTTTTGTACCTTGGTTTGATGTAATTCCCAAAAATCGGATGATATTGCTATGAAAATCAACTTCAAGTTGAAGTTCAAGCTAAATTATTAGAATACAAATATTACAAAAGATTTTATATTAATAGACCGAAATAATCGAAGTGAACAGAAATATAATTTTTTATTTTGTACTTACCTCATGAATAATTTTTTTGACGGTATCATTACTAATGTTATGAAATGATTTTAAAGCGAAATGTTGGTTTGAACTTTTCCAACTTGCACGATAGACTTTCCCAAAGCCGCCTGTACCAATTTCTTGAAAATTGTTAAATTGTTTAAATTCATAATATTTGATATTTTTTCTTGAGATATATTCTTCAACAGACTCATTAGGATTAATGGTAGTTTGCATTTTGATTAATTAAATTTTAAATTTAGCAAATGAATTACTGTATATATTCTTGGAGAAAAGGAAAAAATGCGCTTGGTAAATCATTTGATCATGCTTGCACTATTGTAAATAAAATTTCTAAGCCACAGGTCATGTGTATTCGAGATCGTCTCGTCTTTTTAAGTTTAAAAGATTTAAAAGTAAAATGATTTTATTAGAATAGAAAACAAATAGCTGGTGTATCGTAATACTTGTAACACGAATATCATTTTTTATAAGGATTATTAAAGGTTCTCGTGAAGTTTCAAAGATCATCAAAACGCAAAATATACTCTTTTTTGGTTGGATCTGCATACGCAATCTTAGATTCTACTAGATTATGATCATCAACTGGCTTATGAGTATAAGATAGAGTTGGATTTATGACATCCCTGCGAAAAAATGGCATTTATATGCTTTTTTTTTATTTTTATTTTTTATGTTTAATAACGATAAAAAAAAATAATCTATTTTACCATCATGGCGAAGGCGAAATGACGGGTCGCCTTTTGCTTGTACTTTTTATCAAGTTTTTTTTTTTTACTATGGCGAAGACGAAAAGTCAGGTTACCGCTTTGTTATTTTTTTATTTATAAAGTTTTTTTATTTTTGTCTTTAAATTTAAGAAATATATATATATATTGAGTTAAAAATATACATTTTATTCCACCACTATATTTCTTTACCTTTAACTTTTTTTTAATACTTTCTTTATCATGCCCCGCGAAAATAACCACAATTGCTTAAATTGCTTATGTTCATGAATCAACGCCTTACTCAAGATTTTACAGTTACTTAATTCATTTTTTTCCTTTCCTTTCGATTGTAAAAGGTTACGTAATGTTCGAATCTTTGAATAAAATCATATACAATTCATTCCAGATTTAAAAAAGCTGTGCTCATAATAATGTACAAAGAAAAGTTTATTACATAACTTATTCATTCAATTCATTTAATTTTTTTTTTAAAAAAAATCAATCTCTTTCTTATAAAATCGATCTGTAAATATGAACGCGCGTAAGCAACAAAATGCTTTGTATTATATCATATCAAATCAAACCGAACTGATATATCATTTTATTGGATGAATGGTTGCGTTTACTACCTTCACCCTTGTATTCCGTGTACTGGTTAATATATAATTATGAATTATACATATAAATGATCAACAAAATTCAGTATTATCCGCAGTATGATATTTATAAAGAAAATAAACACAATAATTTTTTATTTAAGGTTAAAATTTTATCCTAAAATTTTTAAATATCAATTACGAATTTTGCAATCAGAAAGTTCGAAAAATTACATCTCGTAATACAAGAAATCCGTATTTTTAAAAATTATTTTTTTAAAAAAAAAAAATAGGACATGATTTACAAAACAGAAATGTATATCATAGTGAGTAGGACGAAGCATTATACATCCGTCAAATTACTTAGTTCAAATTCATCTGTTATTTGTGAAGAAATATCCCTTTTAATTCTCGCACAATTCTTTCATATACACTTACTAACACGAAAGAAACTCTATAAGGGGTATAACATCAATATCCAAACGGATAAAGTAGTGTCGTACATGTATATAGACCGTCGCACAAGACCATATTTTCGTCTTGTCCGACGTTAACGTATATGATGACGATAATGTACTTCGACTGCATTTAATGAGATACGAAACATCCTTCACGTGGTGAAAGTTCGGACTGAATTCAATTAAAAAGTAATGATATTTATCAAAGTCCAAGTGTATTGCGGCCAGACCTGTTTCATGCTGGGTTTATGTATGCAAATGAAAAGTCGTTTGATGACGTATCTAATTGGTAACGTTAATTAAAGCAAACAAGAATTCGTAGTAATTGTCTTTTATCACCCTTCGTTTTACACGTTTTACCAAAATATCAATATATATATATAAATAAATAGAGAATTATCTTTATGTTCATTGAGAAAGATATGTTCTTGTTGATCTAAGATGTATCAGTCGTTGAAATTTAAAATAAAGCCAACTTCATCCATATTTTTCATAGTCATCGGATTTAGGGAAAATCAATTCCGTTGAAAAAGTTGTTCTCGAATGTGCTGTGAGTCGCTTGCGATAGAGTTATTTGCGAGATTCTATTAAGAGTGTTATCGTTAATTGTCAAGCGAAATTCCGATAGCCGTCTTCGGTTTATATTGTTTACGCTATTTGATGTCTTTGATATGTTGATAAACGGTGATGCCAGATGCGAATTGTTGCTAGATTAATTATATATCGACCAAATACGTGTAATCGATTTGCTTCGTATTTTATATTTTGTGTCAATAAATCCACCGCCGTTAAGATTTGAATTCTACTACCGTTCCTTATTTGAACCGCAAGAAAACGTGCATTATTGTTATGAGGAGGAATAAAAATGTTGTTAAAATTTATGCGAATTAAAAATTGATTTAGCATTGAACTTATAGAACGTTGATGATACATTTTAGAAATTTTATTTTATTTTTATTTTATTTTCTATCGTAATGTCGTGAAGTCTTGGATTATTAAATGATTCATCATTATTATTAGGTAGTCTGTGAACAGAAAACTATACATTTATGGTTTAGTATTATTATTACGCATTAAGGAAATCCCTAAACAAGAAGGATGAGAGATTTATTTTATGCAATTTCCTCAAAATTTTATAATTATAAAAGGAAATGCTCTCGCAGTAAAATTAGTAAACCCCAACCAATTTTAAAGATAGATATATATTTTTTTTATACTGTTTTTAATTTCTCCAATACATAATGCAGCAAAAATAATGAAGCATATTTTAGAATTATTTATAGAGTATTGACTTTATGATGCAACTGAAAGTGAGAAGTAAATAATAACTTTAAATGATAAATATGTTGTTTTAATTCTACATTTTTCGACAGTTTTCTTTCCTTCCCTTTCTGGCTGCAAAGCGCCCCAACCAATTTGTGTCACACTCTCAAATATCATCATTTGATTTTTGAATTTAAAAGTCTATCATTCGATGATGAAATACAGTATATGAATTAGCATAAATTTCATTGTGTAAATATATGAAACATTTTTATATGCCCGCTGTTATTGCATTGCATATAGTGCATATGCATATTGCATGACATTTTTTTGAACAATTCATTAAATTAACTTATGTACAGATTCAATTGTACTTGCTGAGTTAATTAGATCTTTTGTTTTTTATTAAATAATAGTTCATTATTATGGAACAATTTATTAATACAATGGATTTTAAAATTTATTTAATTAAAAGGTCATATAAGACCATTAAATATAGGACCATTAAATTTAGCCGATATAAATTACAATGCAGTACTTAAAACAAATTTTTTTCGTTACGGAATATAATTCCGTTATTGAAATTTTATCTATATCTAAAATGTTAGTTATATTGAAAGTTTTATGGAATAATTAAAGTTATTTTTAGTGATCTATTTAAGCAGTAATTATTAAAAAAAAATGGAAAATGGATTTCCCCCAATCTCCGGGTCATGAGTCGTAGTAATCCGAAATTTATGTAATAAGCTTAACTAGTTTGTCACCGCTGCTTAATAATTACAGTATTCCATACCTTTTTAATATTCATTTACGATACCTAGTTGTTACGTTTGTAATGATATGTTATTAAATTTATGATATGGAAGCGTTGCCATTAAAATCACATTAAAGATAATTTGATTTACTATATCTCATAAACTCATTCATGACTTGATTTTACTGGAAAACGTTGACTTATGTTTTTACCTAATTAAGAACACCTACCGTTATTAAATCTGCTAAATTACCCTATTATTAATAAAAAAAAAAATAATAAAATCTAAATAATGTTGAAATCAGTAATAAATAAATCAATCACGCATGAATTCAAAAAAAATGAAACAATAGCTGTAATTCAAAGCTATTATATCTGAAAGTAAAAAAATCACCTATTAGGATAAAAAAAATAAAATAAAAGAATAAAGCAGTAAAAAATACAAATAAATTACACCACTATTTCTGATGGCCCATCTTTTGAAAAGATAAAAGTAAATAATAATAATAAAAATACTATAATTAAAAAAGGAAAATAGAATTGAATTAACTTACATTCATTATAGTGTGATATTTTGAATATTAAATTCATCTGATTATAATGGGTGGGTAAAATTCTCATCTGAGTAAAAAAGTTGATCATCTACCTGACCTGATAACTGTATATGAAATTTCAATAGAAGGTTATGAAATATTTCAATTATTTTTATATTATTCTATTGTAAAATCATAAAACTTATTACATATATAATGGCTTTTTTCTCATTTATCAAAAATTTTATTATACATATTGAAATAACCTTTATTTTGCTTTATTAATGATAGAGATTAAGTTAGATTAGTTTAACTTTAAGAGCAATTTAATAGTTAAATATAACTAAAAATAATTATTTACTGGAATATAGAATTAAATGTTATAATTCAATTTAGTAAAAAATATTATAATAATATATAATAATAAAATTTGTATTTGAAAAAGAATAAAATTAATGAAATAAATATAATTTTTATAATAAATATTATAAACTTACATGTTTCTAAAAAAATAAAAATGAATATTTTAATTAATTACAAAATATTATAATATAATTAATAATTGTAATATATATATTTTTTTTAATTAAAATAATAAATTAGAAAATTATAATAGATAATTATAAAATGTATAAAATTAGTTTATATATTCAATATTTATTATAAAAAAAAATAATATTTAAAAAATATAATATTTTATTAAATGATTTATTATTTATCTTTTTTAAATATATTTTTAAATAAAAATAAACAATTTATTATTTCTATTATATAATTTTATCATTACTTAATTATATTAAAAAAATTTTTTTTTATAAATAGATTTTCTTTTCCCAATACTAATATAAGTAAAAAGTTATTTTAATATTATAAATAGTAAAATTTGATTTAAAATTTATAAAATTAAATATAAAGGTAAAATTTTATAATTATAAAATTTTAAAATAAATTTCTGATTTCTTTAATTTAGATTTATCAGATAATATTTCTTTTATATTTAATATATTTTTTAATTTTTATAATAACATTTATTATATTTATTAAAAATATTTTTATAAATTTAATATATCAAATTACTAATTATAGTAAATTAATTAAATAAAGATAAAATATTTGATATTAACATTTTAATCCATCTAGAAATAGTTGAAACGATATTAAAATTAATAATTTTTGTATCAATAACCGCATAATTTTTAATATTCTAGAAAATAATATGTTTTCGGAGACTTCTATATCAGATCTATGTATGAAGTTAATGTTTTAATAGATTTTTTTATATGGAAGGATGTATTGTGAGAATTCTTTGGAGGATAAACAATAAAATCTGATCAAAGGAAGATATCGTTGCAAAGTATTTTCCATCGATTTAAATTTATCGTCATTCCAAGTAGCAGGTTGTGTTGTACTTTACGCAAGACCCATCTCAATACATTTCTCTAAACGTCAGCTTCTTTCATTTGCAAATCATCTCTTTTAATGATTGAAAAAAGTTTTTTCAGGAAGTAAAGTAAAACCAGGTGGTTCAAAGGTGTTTAAATATTAAATCTTTTGAAGTAGCATATAAATCATTAGAATGAAATCCTGTTCGATAAGTAAGCTTTAAAAGTAGTTTCATCCATTCGCACTTGTTATTAATTTCACTAGCAGCGGTTAAAACTTTAAAGATTACCGCCATATATCACAAAATAAAAAAATATACATTCAAGATATTATTACATTTTGTGTTAAATTATACTCCAAATGGTTTGAAAATTTTTCCGGAGAATATTTGGTAATCTTATATGTTTTTTATTCGAAGTCAAGGCTTGTCGTAAATACGGAGAACGGTAGCAGAATATATCCGATTATAGCATCAACTTTTTTTTTTTTTGTTGTAAATCTTTTCCATTATTATAGGGGCATTGATCTTACCAGTTTAGCGTTTCACAACTTCACAAAGGAATATTAGACTTGAACAAATATGTCCAATTGGGTATCATATGATGCTTGTGTAATTTTTTTCTTCAATCTTTTTTCTTTTTTATCGAATCCATTTATCATATTATGAATATGATTGACTTTGTTAAACGTCCTGGTCTAGGCAGAAAAGGTCGTGTTATAAACGTTAGGGCAAATTATATTGAAATTTCTTATCTGCCTTACACAAATATTTACCACTATGACGTTATAATTACACCGGAAGTTCCTCCTTCTTTAAATCGAAGAATTTATTGCGAGCTTGAAAGTTTACAAGCAGATGTTTTTGAACGTTCGAAACCTGTATTCGATGGCCGTAGAAATATTTTTACTGCTATCCCGTTACCTTTTGAAGCGGCTACTTTCGATATAACTCTTTCAATAGATATCACACCACTTGGTGAAAGACCTCCGTGCTCTTTTAATATCAAAGTTAGGAAGGTGGCTGTAATTAATATGGAAATTCTTCATAGATTTCTTGAAGGAAAATGCAGCAGTTCATCGATGAATATTTTGCCTGGTAAATATTTATTATTGTTATTTTATTATTTTTATCTTACTTTTCAATTAATCTATATGTAAATTAGGAATTATGGCACTTAATGTATTAATTCATTATAAACCGTCAATAATGCATGTAACACATAATGATGACGAAATTATTTATGCAAAATATAAAAGATCGTTTTACACAAATCAAATCTCACAACCTCTTTATGGTGGTGCAGAAGTTTGGCAAAGATATTATCAATCTATCAAGCCTACGTCCAAAAAATTGATGGTCAACATTGAAGTAAGCGGTACTGCTTTTTATGAAAATTGTAGTTTAATACAGATGGTTGTAAAATTACTCGTCAAACGACACCCTGATGATCTTAGAAGAGGAATTCCAGATAGAGATCGTGTGAAACTTGAAAGGGCTTTAAAAAATATAAAAATTCGAGTCACTCATCTTGGAAGTGCTTCCAAGCGATTGTTCAAGATCGTTAAACTAACCAATACTCCAGCTTCAGGTACTAAATTAGAAATTGATGGTAAATGTACCGACGTTGCTTCATATTTTCAAGTGACCTACAAAAAACCTTTACTCTACCCATTCCTTCCTTGCGTTATCGTCCGAAAAGACACATCTATACCATTAGAAGTATGTGAAGTAGTCAAGTTATGTAAAATATCAAAACATTATATATAAAAGCGATGATTTTATCACGTAAATTCATTAAAGTGATTTATTTAGGGACAACGTCATTTCCGTAAATTGAATGAAAGACAAACAGCGGATATGTTTAAATTGATTTGTCCACAACCTCAAGTCCGTGCAAATAAAATTTTGCAAGGATCAGAAATTCTCAATCATCAAGATAACGAGCGTTTGCGCCGATTTGGTATGCATATTTCTGATGAAATGGCCGTGGTTGTAGCCAGAATATTGCCGGCACCAAGATTACAATATCATCCCTCTTCTCGTGATGCTTCCTTCGTTCCAAAGGATGGCTCATGGAATATGCGCGATAAAAAAGTCGCTACCGGTGCAACACTTGGTTCTTGGGCTGTTGTTTCTTTCGGAAGATACGAATTGGAAGCAGTACAAAATTTCATTAGAGAATTAGTTAATACGTGTTTTGATATTGGAATGAATATTCCAAATAAGTCTCCAACTATCCAACAAGGTAATCCAATGGGAAATATTGAACAGATTTTGAGGCAAGCTTGGGTTAAGGCTGGAAACATGTCCAAATCACCACCTCAGTTAATTGTATGCGTTCTTCCGAACACTGGCGTACCATTGTATGCTGAAATTAAACGTGTAAGCGATACAGTAATTGGTGTTGCTACTCAATGTGTTCAATCCAAACATGTATATCAAGCAAAGAAACAGTATTGTGCTAATGTTTGTTTAAAAATGAATGTTAAACTTGGTGGCATGAATTCGTTCATCGAACCAAGCCTAGTACCATTTATTACAAAACGTCCAACTATGATAATGGGTGCAGATATTACTCATCCTGCTCCTGGCGGTGATAGTTCTCGTCCATCTATTGCTGCTCTATGCGCTTCAATGGATGCAAAAGCATCTCGTTATGCCACATCTATTCGCATTCAGGGAGGAATGGTTTTGATCATAGCAGACTTGATAGGTATGGTCAAGGAATTATTAAAAACCTTTTACCAGACCTGTGGAAGAAAACCAGAATGTATTTTGTTTTATCGAGATGGTATCTCAGATAGTCAATTTGAACAAGTCATAGATTTCGAGGTATCGGCAATAAAAGGTATATTTTTTTAAGTTTATTTTATTGCCAAAATTCACCTTATTTATATTTTCTTAAATATTCTTAGCCGCATGTTTAGCACTTGAATCGAATTATAAACCAACTATAACCTATATAGTTGTTCAAAAACGTCATCACACTCGCTTTTTTCCAATGAATAAGGAAGATTCAGATAGGACAGGAAATTGCCTTCCAGGCACAGTTGTTGAGTCAACAATAACGCATCCTTTCGAATTTGACTTTTACCTTACGAGTCATTCTAGCTCAGTAGGAACTTCACGCTCAACACATTATCATGTATTGTATGATGAAAACCAATTCACATCTGATTCACTTCAAACCTTATCATACAACTTGTGTTACACATTTGCGCGGTCTACACGTGCGGTTTCTATTGTCACACCAGTATACTATGCTCATTTAGCTTGCAATAGGGCTAGATTTCATTTTCGAGGCGAAAATTGGAGCGATATAGATTCCGAAACTGGTGGATCTGTATCAACGTACGGTATGGTAAAGCCTGAATTACAAAGTGTTATGTACTTTATATAAGAATTTACCACAACATATTATTATCATTATATGTAAAATATTAAAATAAAATTGTCACGTAACTTTTTATTGTAAACCTTACCATTAATTCTTAACTTATTTTGAATGAATACATTCCGTATTTTCCAAATCAAACATGACATTCTTATATAAATGATTGTAATATTTTAGTTAGTGCAGAAGTTATTGGTTTTTATCTTATTTTATTTCATAGAAAAATATGTAAATACAAGATTAACTGATTAACTGAAAAGGTCATCTCTTACTGAAAAAGAATTATTATATTCACATTAAAAATAATTCCGCGCTCTAATATGACGCTTAGCATAATTTTGCGATAAAAAAGCAAAAATCTAAAACTTTTTTATGGTATTAATAGACAGAAAATGATCATGTACCGCACCGCAATTTGTAAATTTTCTCCAGTATTATTTATTAATAGACGGAGAACATATTAAATTAGAATCAAATATAAAAGCTATATTTTTATAATAAGTGTAGGCAATTGACCTGATCATTTGACTATTTTGGTATGACCTTTAAATGACCTGGTCATTTAAGGTCATTTGTCATTTAACTCATTTACAGTATTGGCCAAATTCAATCTTAATATGAAGTTAAAGTTAGCCAAATTAGAATAAAAATATTAAGAAAAATTAAGATAGTCATATTAACCAAAATTATAAGATCACATGATATAATTACTTTAAATGACTAGGTCATTTGTCATTTGACTTCAAATGACTAGTCATTTATTAATCATTGCTATAGCTAAAAAATTTTTTAGCGTAATACTTGCTATATTGGATTATTAATTATAGAAAATTCAAATAAGGCAATTTTTTTTTCTTTTATAAATAAAAGTAACTAGAGTTATCAATATACAGGAAACTTTGTTCTTCCTGCTTAGTAGTATCAGCTATGGCAAATTCTGGAGTCAACTCAATCAGTCATAGATCTTTAATGTTGACTGATCAGTAACTGAGTCGTGAATGATAACTTATAGTATTAGTTTACGCTTATGCTATTTATTTATTTAAATATTTAGTATTAATTGAATATTTAATTTATAATATATTTTTTATTTATTTAAAAATATTTGGATAATATAATTTATAGTTGAGCCTTTAGTTCTTCAAGATATTTATATTTTTAATCATTGATTCATTTATAATAAAAACAGAAAAATGTAAAGATGCAAGATTTACTTAGCCAAATAGGAGCATCAGCTTATTGCAACATATAGGAGGCAGTTAGTAGAAAAGGGAAAATTCCAAAATTTTTGTTAATTTTTATTATTACGCTAAATTTGTGTATATGACCGAAATCAGCCAAGTGTTCAAATAATATTAATTTTGACCAAAATTTGGATTTCCTCCTTTCTACTGATCACCTCCCATTTGCTTAACTGGCTCAGAAAATTTTTTGGTCTAGACATAAAGAAATTTCTGGTAAAATTAGATCTTGTGCTTAAAAATAGTAACTACTTTAAATATTTCAACGGACTAATTCTTAGATTCATAATTTAAATCATTGCATAAATCTCCAAATTGTTATGATGATGGAGAAAAATCATCAATTGATGTCTATGTTGATTGGTTATAAACGTAAGGTTAGGCCAAATGATTTGTAACAATGTCAATATCTGGTGGGATGAATTATAGTAATGTCAATGTTGATGGTTTGCGTAGGAGGCGAATTAATTCTCTCTGATGGTGAATTTTGTAATTATGAGTGATATTTGAAGTTAGAAATAAAAAATAATTTAACGTCATTGTTTTATGAAATGGTGTTTATCAAGTGTCTGATTCATAACGACTTTATGTTCATAAAGTCGTCATTGATATGGGATTATCTAAAATATTAAGTAAAAAGACGTACAACTATAATCATCAAAGTACATTAAAAAATCCGCGTAATTGAAATTTGTATGCAAAAGATAATGCATTTAATTTTCAAAATACAAAAGAAAGAAAGAAAAATAACAATTTTATACCTTTACGTGTACATATGATGATAAATTATAACAGGTTGAGCTAGACTTTTGAAACTTGGCTGTAGCATAAAAGCATTGAGCATTGACTAAGAGAACATTTTTAGGATCGATTCATGCCCAATTGTTGGTCAAGCCTTATAACCGCTTAAATTTTTGTTATGCAGTAATACTATTACTTAACCTAAATGAAATAAATATATGTGAAAGTAAAGCAGCGCGAAACCTGCGTGATAAAAATAATAATAATAAAATAAAATAGGGAGGAGGATGGTAATAAAATTCTCTATCGTGCGTTTTAGGGAATTCTATTGTTTGCTAAAAAGGTGAAAATGTGTATCAGTAACAAAGGATAGAACAATGGTGTGATAATTTACAATTGCATTACGTCATTGGAATCACAAGTTTCAAATCATTGGACTAAATCGTCCAACATACATTACCTAACGATCAAAAACCACGTGTGTTTAGGAATACTGTTATAAATTATTCTTTATTTTCTACGGCTCTGGTATTTATTTGATGATGTAAAATTGTTTTACTTGTGCAAATGTGGATAAATGGTCAACTTTCCAATTTTTATATGGATATGGATTACAATAATCATGTCCACGGTTGAGAAACGAAATCAGGTCAATAATTATTCCCATATATTTCCTTTAAAACAAATTCTTTACTTAACTTGATTAGTCTACTTGCATAATGAAAATCGGCTTTCTGAGATTCAACATTATCGGTCAAAGTACTTCGAAACTAAGAATACTTCTTGAACTTTAGCATGACTAACTTGTTTTATAACGCATTGAAAAAAGTATAGGCTTAGCCGAGCGAATATTAATAACATCAAGTATTTATTCTTTATACTTATCTATGATTAATCTCATGGTTAATATCTATTACGAGATACCCACAAACCTGCCGCATTAAATAAAGTTTCTTATTTTATCATAATAAATGTTTTACTATATAATAAACTAAGGAATAAAAATATTTCTAACAAAGCTAAACAATCTTAATTTTAATCATCGTTTCCTTGCAAAATCTGCCAATAAAAAAAATATATGATTATAATAAATATAAAAACAAGCTGAAAGTCAAATTTGTATATTTGACTTGTAAAGAATAACATCACTCATTTTTCAATTATTTTCCTGAACCCGCACCGCAGTTCCTGGTAGTCCAACCTTTTACCTTATCCAAGTATTACGAATTATCAAAGATAATTATCCCTTCCTATTTCCACAAACAAAGTATTAAACTATTCTAAAACATTTTCGTTCGTTGTTCATTCAAAAACTTGGTACTTCTTTGTGTTCAGATCTCGAAATGTAGAAGGATCGATCATCTGATTTAAGGCAATCATCAGTATGTTTCAAAATATTGCAATTTAATGACATCTTCGTACCTTATTATAAAACCTTACCACCATAGTCCAATTGTTTTTCAGTGTACAGGTCCATGATCAGCAATTAAAACAAAATATAAGGATCATTTTCGAGTGCTTTCTTCTTATGTTGTCTTTGATAGATGCTCTCGGTACTTTCTCTCAATCCTAGCATTTGAAACACACTTGGTAAATTGCTTATCTCCTTAAAAATATATTTATAAGAATTTCTTTAAAAATAAGAAAGTGAACACCGTTGATATTATTTTCTTGATTATTTCGATATCATCATTCGTAGGTTTAAATTATCTCGGACTCTAAAGAGCCAACAATTTGCGAAGGTCCCATTTATTGATTTCCTTGCTTTAATTAAGACAAATTGGTTAACCAATTCTTTTTTGTTTGATTAGAATATGCACAGAAACGTATCTGAAACATGGCGAAGAATAATTCTGGAAGTGAAAATTAAACATATACATGTAAGTAAAAATGTAGTGAGTGCTAAAGGTTAAGGAAAAACATAATATGAGAGATTGTGATGTTCAAATATTTAATATTTGAGTTTTCATTTGTTTATTAATTTTTGTATTGTATTATGTTACACCAAGTAATTTGTTCATATTTTCGTAACAGTGTTCAATTATTCAGAATCACCCGATTTGAATAAACTCAATTAAACAAACTTTCTCAACATATAAATATTCCTCGTTCACCTTTTTTTCCATTTATCCATCTTTCTTCACCTATCTTCTCTAAATATATTATTTCTCACAACTATATTTTTTCTCCACTTCTCTTTCCACACATTTTTTTTTCTTTCTTCACTTGTCTTTACTACCTATCTAATATTTATTATATTTTATCTTCTTTTCTACTTGGTCTTTTTTTTCAACTAGTCTCAACCTATTTTTTTTACCTAACCTCTCGCGAAAATTCAATAGATGTCTAGTAAGTGTAAGAACTTACTTATATGTTTGTGTAGATTAGATTTTTGTCCAAATTAAGGGTGGAAGCTATGAACCTTGCTTGACTTTCTGTTGAGAAACTGATTTTCTAATCTTTATCGTTATCGTTATCGACTTCTTATTAATTTTCGTTATCGTTTCATTATCGTTATCGTCTTCTTCTTGTTAATTTTCATTATCGTAATGGTCTTTATCATCTTTTAGCACAATTATACTAATATTTTATTTTAAATTCAATTTTTATTGTATAAAAGATAAAAGTTGCATTTGTTGTGGAATAGATAATCAAAGCATTTACTTCTGTGCCAACATACAAAAGCTTAGCGCAGAATAAATCGAGGTTTGGTTAAGAACAATAAAATCTCCGCTATTTTACACGTTAATAAAGGAAAGGGAGGTATGTAAAATCAGATTGTTTATATCTTTGTGTTCTTTGATTAATTGAACTTTAATTTCAGGTATGGAGTCATATGAAGAAACTTGCAATTTTTTTCATAAAATGTAAAGTTTTCAGGACCATATGGTGCCTTTGCAATAGAAAGGGAGGAAACTGCCGGAAAAATCAAAAATGAGTTAATGCTAAATTTGAACAGCCTAAAAATCATATTGGCATATAAAAGTAAAATTAATTTTCCCGGCAGTTTCCCCCTTTCTATTGCAAAGGCCCCATATAATACAATCATAAAATTTTCGGCAGCTATAGAATTCCAAACCAAAAACCTATAGTCTATAAAGAGGTCAGTTTTTACTGTTTTATAATTTATCATAATTTCTTTTATTTATTAACTTCCTGTGTTTATTTTTATTCAACATTTTGATTATAATTCCTTTTACCTCAATCTTAACTTCAAGAGATAGTAAACAATCAATAGATGGTAAACAAATAAATATTTCACAGGAGGTAATGGACATAACATTTAATAAAAAGGTAATGTAATAGATGCTTATTTATTGATGATGATTTATTTCAATGATACTAATATAAATTTTTTTTATATGTCTGAAAATTAAAATTAAAAGACCGATGTTAAATGTTCTGAATTTAGAATCATTAAAAAAAATCATCAGTTTACAAGAAGAACTCCTTACGCAAAATAAATTATTGGAGTAAAAATTTTTACATAAAAATATCGAATATAACTTTTTTAATGTCTTTTTAAAGTTTAAGTATGCAGAAATTATTTTCTGAATTCTTTGATTTTTTAATTAATATTTACATTATACATCGTTTAACGCAGATTTAATAATGTTAATATCCTTTTAATCAAAGATTTTTAAAATCACGTTGTTACTTATACTTTAACATATATATATCATTTATTCATTTTTATTTTTTATTTGTTGCTAAAAAAACTAATAAGCTTCTGCTTTTTATTATACAATATACAATTATATTCAATTAATTATATTTGAAAAGTTGTATTAAAACAATATGAAGTATAATAAAATTAAAATACAATTAAAAAAAAAATAGATTACATTAAAGTTCGCAATGTACAATTTTAGGTTTGAATTATGGTAAATAAAGTATTGGAACATGTTCTTTAATAAAAGATCATAAAGTTCATCCAGAAAATTAGACAAATATAAATGTATATTTGTTCAAATTATAAATTATGGTGGCATTGTTTACACCATCGAATATGTTATTTTCGAAATTATACATAATACATGTTCATGACATAAAGGATTTTTGCCTTCAAAGCATCAAAACATTCATTAATATCGGACGTATTCTTCATATAAACAATTTTACAATCTTTGTAATTTAAACCCAACGCAGGTTCAGGTGGTGTGGAATATTCAATTTCGCATATTTAACGTGTGTTTTCAAGATTGGTATAGTTTAATTTTGAAGTCGGATTGAAATATTTTTCTTTATGTACTGTTCCATTTTCGAGATTCAAAATTTAAGATAAAAAAAATGGAAAAAATGGTTTTTTTATTTCAATCCCTTTTCAAAGTTCCCAATTGAAAATATTTTCCTTGTTTAGATAAGTTCAGAGTAGTGTAAAAATACCGTGTAAATTCATTTACAAGATGCGCAGCGGTAATTATTGCGAAGTATCTTAATTGATTGATAAAATACTTACATCTTTTTTATATAATATACTTATATTATTCCAACCAATGAAATAAATTTTTAAGTAAAATATCTTATTGATAATGATTTTGCAATTCTCGTAATGGATTTACCATGCTTTTTTATGTAATTCTTGTACACACTTGTTCAAAATTTTTTTCGTACTTTCGATTAATTTACCTGGGTGTCTTTGAAGACGGCCAAACAAGGTAAGGTTGCTAAGAAAATCAGGTTCAGAGAATTTTTTGAATCAAATTTAACTTAATTTAACATCATCAAAAACTGAAATGCAATAAAAATAAAATTTTAGTAAGTTCTCAGAACCTGATTTTCCTAGCAACCTTCCCATATATACTGTAAGTCTAAAGACAATTAAAACATTTATGCAAAAAATTATAAATTATGATAGTTTAAAAGGATACTATTAAGACTAGAATAACAGAATCAATCTTCGTATATTTAAAAAATGAACCATTAGAACCATTAAAGTTAAAAAGGAAAAAAAATTCAGAAAATCAGAGATTGTTACCGACTAAAATCGTCGTCGGAGATTTTAACGGAATTTAAGTTTTATAATTTGTCTATTGCAGTCTCTTCCCGAATTCTTCGGCTAAATAGATCGTTCGAGAATTTATAAATCACATCTGTTTCTATGTACTGTATATAAAGCAGTGTTGACATTTGAACATTTTGCCATTGGCCGTTTGGCTGTGACCACATTCAAATATGTATTATTTTTGAAGATCACTACATTTTTATTTTTTTTTTTTGAATGATAAATCACAGAATTCTTCGGTAAGGGGCGCAGCTAATTTATGTAATTCCACACTATCATGATAAAATTTCCCACATCCCATCCAACAACAATACTACATTATTATAGTCTCGTGTAACGCCAATGTTTACGGCAATAATAATAAATAACGTAATTTTAGTTTTTCCGGAAATTGTTGATCAGTATTCTTTTTTAGTTTTTGTTTTATTAAAATCAAAATATTGGTAAAGGAGAAACGGTAATGAATATTTAATAATCTTAAATCCAATAATAATATAAAAAACATACATATTATTTCCGGTACATTAAACTTATTTTTTAATACCTAAATATTCTTGCGACATTGGCAACAAAAAAATATTCATCACTCATGGAGGGAAGAAAACAAATAAACATCGGAAATGAATTACCAGGGCATACTTTTCACTTTCCATTCGAATTCAACGATACAGACAGACTTGGACCGTGGGATATTTTGCTCAGTGAAGGCACAATCAGGGATTTACAGGACATGTTGTTCAAAGAAGACGCCAATGACATGAATTTAGAGTCACCACTTACAATTGAAAAGGTTATGAAAAAACTAAGGCAGATATCATCTGGGGCGTGGAAAAAGTACGGGCTCCAACGTAAGGTGTCATCTCTCATGATACCTATCTATGAAGTCGACCTCCCCAACAGCGATCTGAAGATTCTCTGGCAGATTGACTATGGGTTCTCTATCCGTAGTCATTCGTCTACGCAACATGTAAAGGTTTGGACCATTACGGCATGCCAAGAAAAGTTAATCACAACATTAAAAACCCTCGAAAGAGTTCATAAAGTCTATACTTCTGAGCAGATTTGTCGGTGTATAATCCAAAATTTGAGCAATGACAATATCGTTTTACCGGGATGCTTTGGAGATATAGAGAGAACAAGGTTCATTGACGATAAGTTGGACATTGACGATAAGTTGGACACTGACGAAGATTTGGACGTTGACGAAGAATTGAACTCTGACGAAGAATTGAACTCTGAAGAAGAGTTGAACGATAAGGAGAGGAGACTATTAGAAGTCCATAAAATGCTTGTTACAAATAAATTTTTTCCTATATCAAGGGTAAAGTATCTCGTCATTATATATTTAGAATTTCTGAGAATAAATCTCTTAAATAAATAATATTTCTCGCAGAAATTATTCAAGTCACTAATCATGAGTGGCTCTGACTTCGCCTTTCAAGTATCTAAGAACGAGTACGAAATAATTAACAATCCTACGTCGGCGATTGTTTTCGGTTGATCTGGTTAGTAAACAATTAATAATTAGAAATAAAATATAATGGCGTCAAAGATACTGTAGAAAGTTAAGATAATCGATCTTATCGGCAATCAAAATTAAAAAATTTTTTAATGATCAGTAAAATGACGTTCATTAAATTTGAAAAAGGAAATATGGTTCTTTTGAAACATATGATTGATTTTAAATTTTTATTCAATATTTAGGGACCGGAAAGACCACGTGCATCGTGTTTAGACAGCTGACTTCATACCTGACTAGCTACATTCATAACAATGACGAGGATTTCTTCAAAAGACAAATATTTATTACGGCGAACCCCTTTCTACGCTCAAAGATAAAGAAATACTTCAATCAACTACAAAACTCTGCAATCCTTGCTGGAAAAAAGATATCGAAGGCTGATTTTATTGAATGGAAAAGATCATACGACAATAAGGCACTAATTAACAATACTTTACATGAAGAGGACGATGATCTTACAAGAGTTACTCCTTTCCGTCTGCTAACCGACCAGGATTTCCCATTATTCCTCACCTATGAAGAGTTTTCAAAAATGCTTCAGGAAACCTACGGTATTGACATTCAGAAGTTGACTACAAAACAAAAACAAAAGTTCGATGCGGATGACAATAATCAGGAGGAATACCGACCTAGGTATTCCTTTAAAAACATGTCAAACGCTTCATGGGCTCATTTTGTTGACTATGATCTGTTTGAAGCAAAGTATTGGCCTCGTTTTAGTGATCGTTATAAAAAAAAGCTGGATTGCGAACTAGTATATGCTGAGTTCTCCATTATCAAGGTATGCAACGTCACAAATCCCTACGCCTATAAATTTCTATTTAACGTTTAGGTTTTCAAATATAATCTAAAGGGCATGAATATTGAAGCGGAATGCCTATCAAGAGAAGAATACCGTTCCATTAGTACCAGAAAATATCCAGCATACTGTCACAACCGTGACGAAATTTATGATTTATTTGAGCGATATAAAAAGATGAAAGCGGGAAATTTTGACTTTGATGCGGTTGATCGGTAAGAATTCATGATTTGTTTTTTAGATTTGAATAAGTAATCATACGTTTTAAAATTCTTTTTCGTAGGACACTAGCCATATTACGTGCAACCAAAACGAGAACGTTTGATGGCCCGCACATTCATGAATTGTACATTGACGAATGTCAGGATCATCACATTGTAGATTACGAGCTCATTTTCAAACTTTTCGACCGTGCTGACAGCATTTTTATGGCCGGTGATGTGGCGCAATGTATTGCCCGGGGGTCTTCATTTCGATTCCAAGGTAAGCAATGATTTTTTTTTTAAGAATAAATTATTACTACGTCTCTCTACTTCTAATTTCCAATTTTAATAAAATAGACTTATACGCATTAATGTACCAACGAAATATCGGCCGAGTTCAAACCGATAACAACTTGTACAATCCCTTAAAACCAAAACAGTTTGAATTAAACGTTAACTACCGATCTCACAACGGGATTCTTCGACTTGCTTCATCTGTAATCCAACTTATCCAGCACTTCTTTCCCGATTCTATTGACAAACTGTCACCAGAATACGGCGAGATTGACGGTCCCCAACCTCTCGTTTTCGAGGGTTATCAGGCAAACACTTTGTTCACTACCGACATTTCTGATAAAAATATGAAAAAAAAGGATGAGGATACATATATTGAATTTGGAGCTAAAAAACGTGTGGTAGGCAATATCAGTGATATCGGATTGGTATTGACCGTGTTCGAGGCAAAAGGTTTGGAGTTTAATGACGTATTATTGTATGATTTCTTTTCTGACTCGCCTGCCCGATCAAATGTATGTGATTTTTATTTTCTTACTTTGTTTGAAGAATGATATTACCATTATTGAAATTATGTATTTTTGAATCATTTATAGTGGCGAGTAATACTCTCAGTTTTGGATGACTATTCTGAGGGAATTCGGACCTTCTCGCATGAGAAGCATTATATCCTTTCTTCGGAACTAAAGCATCTTTATGTCGCAGTAACAAGAGCAAGAGAGCGTCTTTGGATTTTTGATGAAGATCCTGAGTTTAGCGAGCCAATCAGAAAGTACTGGAAATGTAAGAAGCTAGTCAAAGTAGCAAAAAATAACATTTCTACTTTGCTTAGAATGAGTAGTATATTCGAATGGAACGAAGCAGGAAAATCGTTTTTTGAGCAACAAAAATATGAACAGGTAAGTTCATTTCAATAAGTTTAGTGCTATGCAACAATGAATCGAGTTTACTAAATTTGGAATTTCCATAGGCAGTTTTCTGCTTCAAAAAGAGCAAAAACGAAGAGAACTTAAAGTTAGCCCGTGCGTATCTTCGTCGAAAGGAAGCCAGAATTTCCTTCGTATCCGGTTCTGATGAAAAAACAGTAAAGTCAAAATTCATTTCCGCCGCTCAAGCCTTTAAAAAATGTTCTCGATTGTCACAAGCAGCTTCTTGCTATGAGGTATCACATCATACAATTATATTTTTCTTGAAACTCCAAAATGATGCTTGCAACTCTACAAAACTTTCAGAACATAGATATGTATTATGAGGCTGGAGATTGTTACGTAAAATCAAATATGTTCGAGACTGCTGCGCATTGTTATTTTAAGGCCAAGATGTGGAACGTAGCAGGTGTGTATTTTGAAAAGGTAAAAAAGTATGATGATGCAGCTATTTCCTATAAAAATGGCAGCCTTTATGAAAAGGTAACAAACTTGATTCAACGGTAAGGTTAATTTTAAACATCCTGAATTTATTGCTGCAGAAATTAAAAGAATTATTGTAACGTTCGATTAAATTACTATTTATTGATCAGGCATAGAGAAAACATCAATGATGAAACGATTCGTCTTCTAAACACCCATTTTCGTAAAGAAGCAGAAAAACTTCGTTTAGACGATAAGTTCGAAGAAGCTGCCAACATGCTTATGCGTTCGATTGACGTCGAAGAGGATAGAATTGATGCGCTACAGTGTTTATTGCACCAATGCAGAGTTCATGTACTGAAAAAAATAATTGATCTTAAAAGTATAAGTTTGCTAAAGGAATTGCGTGGGCTCCATTCAAAGGCAAACGAGATTGTTTTGAAAGTTAAATCTAAATCTGAATATTGGAAGAGTCTGTCGGAAGAATTTCAGTTATATTCTTTTTATTTGGATGAAAAACTCAATAAAGTCCATGAGTGCATAAAATTTTTCAGGAATCGTGAAGAGCTTGTCGCCGAGTTTTTTGCGATAGTCATGTGGCTTCAGATTCCTTCGCCATCAGATATAAATACCAAGTATTGTGATGAACGATTACAATTCCTGCTGAGACTGTGTAAAATGTCCTTTTCTTTTATTGCCCCACAAAAAAACGAAGATATTGCAAAATTTTCTAAAGTTTTTGAAGATATTTGTTTTGTAAGCAGAGTAAGGAACCCTCAGAAACGAAAAATTTCCTCTTCCAACCCTCTTTATTATTGTATGGACAACAAAAATAACGAAGATGATGAAATTACGAACTGTTGGAATGTTTATGACGTAGATGTAATGCATCAGAAAATGTCGCAGTTTCTTACTTTGTATATATACGAGCTAATTTCGAAAGCTGATCAGGATGGTAGAAATAATCCGAACATAGTTTCAAGAATCTGCTTTAATTTTGCATCATCGAATAATTGCCTAAATCAAAATTGTCGAATGCATCACATAATTCCAACTCCATTACTTCTGTTCCAGCGTTTGAAACTTGCGAGACTCCAATATACAGTCGTGCAGCAGTTGGATGTATTACACCGTTATGGACTTCATAGAGACGAGAAAAGTAAAGATAGTTCACAAAACTGGTGGGCTGAAACTCTGGTTAAATGTCATATGTGTTATCAATCACCGCAAACAAGCTGTCCAGAGGTTACTCGCATGGTTCTCGCCAAACTTCCTGTTCACATCCGTGATGGTCTTATCAATCACGTTTACAAGACATGGTTATTGAATGAGTCCAAGAATGACTTTAAGGTTATGTTAAAACACATGTTTATTATTCAGCAGCTGCAGGACAAAAAGATCATTGATGAATTTTATCAGGAAATGTCGAAAACAAAAATTCTTTTACACCCTAACTGCCTGCCTGTAGGTTTTGAATATTATTGTGGAAACTATCAAATGATTCCAGTTGGAAGGCACCTCGCGCTATTTTTCTCATTTCTTCACAAAAATAAAGTGATCTCCGCGATCACAAGCTCAGGAGCGTTTATTAATTATGCTATAAAAAATATTGAAAAGGTCAATCTGTCTTCATCTGATGCTCTTGGTGAACTTGCATCTCTCATGGAATTTACAACATCTTTGATTTTTGCAGTTGGTGAAGAACATTGCGATTTTTGTCTTCCTCGATCTTATATAATAAATTATTTTGATGTATTTACCTTGAATCCTCTCATTCCGGGACGATATACTTATAGCAGAAACAATTATTTATCCGCGATCAATAATTCCCTTGATCAAGTTCAACAACTTCTCGACTTGCTTTTTTGCAAGGAAGAGATTTACTTGCCGATTATCCTTCGGTTGATACGGCTTCTGGTTCTTATCAGACTAAATGAAACCAATTTTACGCAGAAGATTCTTATTATTTTCAAACACATTTATAGTAAAAACAAAATCATTTCTATAAAAATCAAGGAATACCTAGAAGAGAATGATTTGATACGTCTTGTGACCGTTCTGCAAAATGAGCTCCGGGAGATGCGCTGTGACTCCATGGTTATCGTTCGTTACCAAATTAATAGAATATCGAAATTTGCTTACTTTGAAACATATGGTTTCAAAACCCTTACATACAATTCTATTGGGAAATTTCGCTCTTCCCTTCGAAAAATCATATCATCCGCTACCGGAATCCCAGTTGATCAACTAGCCGTCACTTGAAGACTTTACTATTTTATTAATATCATTACACCTTCATGAATTTGAACATTATTCTTGAAGGTTTTCAACATTTTATTTTATTTTTTTTATATATACATAAATATAATTTATTTACAAAATTACTATCATATAAAATTAAAAACAGTCAATTTTTCAATTTTGTGTAGGTGTATATATAATAAATTATAAACGACGACAAATGGGTATTGTTTATTAAATGGTCTCATTATTTAAATCTTACAGTTTTTAAAATCTATTATCATCAGCAAAAAAGTAAATAAAATAAAAATTATTCTCATTTTGTGGCCTAGTTCTACATTTTGATCCCCTGTGTATCGTCGGAAGCATCAACATCAACGACGCAACATCAATTCCTTATGACACGAGGTATTACATAGAGAAAACTAACCTCTCTTGAAACTATGAACAAAATCGATCATATTTATTGGGAGTTTAATCCAGTTACACATTTCTAATTATCATTGTATGGAATTAACATTGTATGTAACAAATGATTATGACATTTAGACAAACAGAATGAATTTACATAACAATATACGCTGATTTATCTCCAAACGAAGAAAAAATTAGAGAATTCGATATTAATTTATATTATGACGTTTTCTTTAAAATCTAAGAATAAAAAGAGTGAAATTGCAAGCAACCATTTTTGTATTTTAAAATCAAAATTTTCAGAATGAGACATCTGGAAATAATGAAATAGATAATTTAATAAAGTAAATGTCGAATAATTGAGTGGATGCCACATAATAATTTACGAAATATTAATTGCGTATCTAACTAAAGGTGGATGCTCTGAAATTTATACAGGGATTGGTTTGATGGAGGTTATGATGAATGGGATTCTATCAATACGACTTTGAGACAAAATAGTAAGCTTTAATAGATTAGAAAATGTCGAGATTTCTTATAAAAAGCTTGTTTGAAGAGGTATGTGGATTTAAAATCAATTGACATTTTATCAAAAAAAAAGAAAAGAAAATATCGATATTAATCAATTGACTTCTCATTTAATAAGTTGAATTTCAATTAAGAACTTGTGGAATTTCTCAAGATTCACAAAATAAAGATTATTTTCTTGTATTTAACAAAATATTTACAACAAATCATAATCAACTTAACGGAAACAAAGAACCTACAAAAGTGTATGCATGATGGAGCAGTTTTATTCCTTGTTAAGCCAGAGCGCTATATTTCTGAAATAATAAAACAGCGGAAAAGAAAGGGGCAGGTGATCGATTAATTCGGCTTTCGTAGAATCGATAGTTTCTATATTTGAATCCCATCGTATTCATTAATCAAGACTGTGATAAAAGAAGTAAATGGAATATTCACCGAAATACTTTATTAAAAGTGTCAACGACATAGATGCGAGAAAAAATATCTGTTCTATTATCATAGAAAGCTGATATTTTATTATTAGATTATATAGTTTTGATATATTTAGTTGACTGACCACCCCAACGAAACGTATGATCTTGAATAATGTGGATCCTTATTTTATCTTAAAAAAAAACCCCAGAAAGAAAATTACCTCTAAAGCTTCTTAAGAAAATCTCCTCTTTGAGTATTATTTAAATCATTAAAAATAATATGAAATCACCACTCCGAAACTTCTTTAGATATATTTTTTAAAACTTTAACCTCTGAACTTTCGATATATTTTAAAATCATCAGGGTGTTTATATTAGTAGACTGAAATTACATTGACAAAGGCTACAATACATATACAAACATCCCTTTTAATAAAAATGATAGTTTACTGAAAGTGTCTATATAACGTGAAAACATGACAATATAAAATTAAAAAAATATTCTGATTTGTATTTCTAAAATTTCAAAATAATTTAAATATAAGAGATAAAATAAAATTTATTATTAGCTCATTTGTTTAAATAATTATTTGAGGTTACCTTAGCAAGCCTCACAGTATTAATGTGACGAAATTTTTTATCGCATGGAATAAAATCACATATTTCATCATGCAATATAAATTTGGTTAATAAACAATGTTGAATTAGTAATGGTAACAGTTTGACATGTTACATATAAAAAAATGTAATATGTGAGATGTCTTAGGTTCGATGCTTGCTGTTTCTTTCCAAAAAACAAATTTACATTTCCTATAATACCTTATTTTTTACCAACAAAATTTTAATAACTCTTGCAATTTTGCAGTTTTACTGATTTTAATTTAGACTTGTTTCGA